GTAGGTGGTTAGTAATGGGTGCCTGGTAATGGCTTTTTCATTCATTTCCCTCTAAGATGATAGCTGTCTTGATTAGTAGTGGGATTTTAAGGCTTCCCATGATGATATGGCTAGGAAGGCAGAGAACTGTCCGGAAGCCTACAGAAGGTAGAATGTGCAAGGAGAGATTTGGGCTGGTTTTTGTTGCAGTTAGGTCTAAGGGAGTGGAGAAAAGCATGAACGTTTTTAAGTGACTCGAGACAGTCTATTCATGGGAAGCCAGTATGTTAACCAGATATAGTCATGAGGTGTTTAATGATATATGTCCTGGAAAAAAAAACGTGTTTAGGCAAGTTCATCGTTGTGCGAGTATCATAATCTTATGGGACCATCCTATAGTGTGGTCCTTGATCTGCCACGTTGTTATGTGCTGCATGACTATGTCTTGATTGTAGCTCTTCATAGTCTGACTGGAAGCACAAACTTGACTATTGTGAGGCAGCAAATTGTGAGTCACTTCTTAGAATGAAATTTCAGTCCATTTTAGCATTGACGTGGGATCATAGAAATAGGGTGTCCGAACATGAAAGGTTAGTGAGCCATCATCATTAATCTTCAGAATCTTTGTTAGTGTTGAAATGGGAAGCACGTTTGTTTTGGGGTTTGCTTTTTTTTCCCTTTAGAGTGGATATTGCTCAGCATGGTATAGAGGGGGTCACTATAGTAACTTTAGCTACTGTTGGATATCAGATGTCATCAGCATTGACAAGACCGGAGAGAATTTCCGTCTGATCTATGACACCAAGGGTCGTTTTGCTGTCCATCGTATTACACCCGAGGAGGCCAAGGTGAGTGTTGCAAGCAGGCTGGATCTTCCGTCAGAATTATTACTTGGTTCTAAGAGTTTGGATTGGGTACATGTGCTGGTCCGTGGCAGTGGGGTAGGTAATTACGGATGACATAACCAGTTAACACTTTGGTGATACTTTATTACTATATGTGCGGTTTTGTATTGTATTAAGTCTTGCTAATAGCTCTGTAGTTGTCCATTACTGGATCCCTATTTGGAGATAACTTCCTTAACAGATTTTTGTTTTTGTGGCAGAAATGAATTCTAGTTGAGCTGGAATGTCCTGGTTCAATTTTAGAGGCAAGGAGAATGATTTCTGGGAAATTGTTTTGAGTGCCTGCAGTATTGGATCTTTAAGTATAAGGGACCAGAAAACCAGTCCAGCTGTTCGATTACCAAAGTCTTCATCTGTGGGTCTAGCTTTTAGTTTGAGGAGGGGGGAAAAATATTTGCGTTGGAGATGGATGATCCTTGAGGCTTTGGTTTGCAATAACTCAAAAAAGATTACAGTCTTGATTATTTAATCGAGTTTATTGTGATGATTTTGCACAGAAGTTTAAGGCTTCTTGAATTACTGGCTGTAAATGAAGGTTAATTCAATTGGGTGTTGTGATTCCCAATTACCTTGCCTTGCCTTGTTATCAGCAGACTGGAGGGCATATCCAGTGGCGTCTTTGGTGATTCAATTTATTTTAAGGATGTCAGAGTAAAAAATCCAACATTGGAATGCTTTGTGAAATATTTGTTGATTGGATAAACCAGTAACAGAATTTGTGAGAAAACTAGGTCATGATCTAGAGGGCGCCATTTAGATATGAGGTGTGTGTCAGGCGAGATTGGGATGATTGGAGCAAAGACTACCTGGAGCCTGTGCGACTGGGAAAAGTAGTGGAATTTACATGGTAGGAGTAGGCAATGGTGGTCATTGGACCAACTTGAAACTTTCAGTGTCCATGTTAGGGAAGCTGTACCGTTTGGTACCTTGAACTCTGGAAATGATGCAGTGAAGAGAAGAACCCATATGGTCAGGGCCATAGTTATGCAATTTGGGAAACCCATGGGTTCTGTGTAGGGTTGTTGACTTTTTAGCTGCTAATTGCATGTTTAACCCTATCACCAGAGAGAACCGTTTCTTTTACTCTGGAGAGTAATGACAGGTACGTGTGAGTTGGACTAAATGCAACTAATCTTTGCATGTTTCTAGTACAAGTTGTGCAAAGTGAGAAAAATCTTTGTGGGCACAAAAGGAATCCCTCATTTGGTGACGCATGATGCTCGTACCATCCGCTACCCAGATCCTCTCATCAAGGTGAACGACACCATTCAGATTGATTTGGAGACTGGCAAGATTACTGATTTTATCAAGTTTGATACCGGTAAGCAACTCTTTTAAGGGGGAGAGGTTTTTACTATACGGCATGTCGCTCACCAGAAAGAGACAGAAAACATGAAATCACTCCCCAGGGGGGATGGCCACGCAACGATCCACTCTCGGGATCTTGGGCACACACGCACATGGGCCTAGTGTGAGTTTAAGCCACCGGGTCCAAGACTCGAACCACAGTAGACTACATGGGAGTCCAGCAACATAGCCACTACGCCAACTGTTGGTCCCACTGATAAGCAACTTCTGTGCTACCTGGGCAAGCCATCTGCTTCAACTCTTACTTCCAGGATATTCAGGGTGGCTGAGATGGGATATCTGGTGTTATAAAACATTTTCAGGCCTGGTTTAGATGTTTCAGAAGCTTCACTATGTAGAGAAATGGCCTGAGGGTCGCTGGGCAGGTAACCTTGACCAGAGTTAACCACTCTTAATTGTACGATTCTTCATACTGCTGACACCATGCATTAAAGTCTGTCAATAAGAGCGGAGAAATGTGCCCTAGGGAAACAGCAGTCATCTAGGCAAGAGATGGAATCTTTTTTAAACATGTCTCAGCGCTGTTTGTCATTGGTTATATTGGGTGGTTAGGAGTCTTACACAATGCCTTGTTAAAGCAGATGGTTTCTTCCTCTCTAGGTAACCTGTGTATGGTGACAGGAGGTGCTAACTTGGGAAGAATTGGTGTGATCACCAACAGAGAGAGGCATCCTGGCTCTTTTGATGTGGTTCATGTGAAAGATGCCAATGGCAACAGTTTTGCCACTCGGCTCTCCAACATTTTTGTTATTGGCAAAGTAAGTCTGGGTTTCCCTCCTCTAGTCCAAGGAAATCTATAAATGCAGATGCTGCTGGGATTCCAGCTCCTAGCTGGCTCTGGAGAACCTAGTACATAGCCTCTCCTAGAATAGGGTTCCCGCCGAGATGGGCTAGGTCAAACTTGTGCATTTTTCACTGTCACTGAATCATTGGGAAGAGCCTGATCACCTTGGTTGGTGGGAAGTGGCAGTAATGGATTGAATAGACTTTATCATTAGGTTCTTAAGTTTTTTGTGGTTGTCTTTTCGTGGAAATTAATCAGCAACCTTAGGTACTACTTTGGCTCACAATAAATAAATGAGGGTATGCTATATGCACAGTAAAATTTGATGTGTTGTGTGTGTGGGGGGGTGGGCAGCATGAATTTCAATAGAATGGCTCTAGTATCCAAAGCAATAGGCATTTGTTAAACCAGCATCTGCCTGAATTGGTGACTGCCTAGCTGATGGTGCTTTCACAAACACACTTCACGTAGTTTAGATGACATGACAAATGCATTGTGTGTTGTGCTGCTACATAACAATTGATACATAGCAGGTTTTGATTCTCATTTTTGTCTATAGGGAAACAAGCCATGGATTTCTCTTCCCCGGGGAAAAGGTATCCGCCTCACCATTGCCGGGGTATTGCCTCACCATTGCCGAAGAGAGAGACAAGAGACTGGCAGCCAAACAGAGCAGTGGGTGAAATGGTCTCTAGATTTTCTGTTGGAGAGGTCTTCATACTTAATTAAAGATGATATAGCGTAATTAATTGCCTCTTGGTTTTGTGTTGTTCTTTTGGTTTTGTTTTCGTTTCCTGGTCTGCTTTTCCTGTTTGACCAGAGGGAAAGGAGGAGAGCCCCCCTCACCCCTAATGGAGAGTGGATACACTACAATGCCTTTTGTGTCTCCATCCCATCTGGCTCACATACACTCGTGTGAGGTTTTAATGATTTATTTTGTTTTATTCATTTGTCACATGAGTTTGCCAGAGAGATGGAGAGTGAGAATACGAGCCACCAGGTCCCAGAGTCGAACGTCAGTCAGTCATAGGGGAAGTCTAGTGCCTCAACCAC